GGGTCTGTTCAGGACCCCACGGCCCTCGGTCGTCTCACTCACTCGCCGGCCTGCGCTCTGGTCTGTTCAGGACCCCGCGGCCTGGGTCGTCTCACTCACTCGCCGGCCTGCGCTCCGGGTCTGTTCAGGACCCCGCGGCCTGGGTCGTCTCTTGGCTGGTTGAAGGGGGGATGGCATCAGAGAGGAGAACAGTTCGTGGCAGACAGGAGGAAGCAAAGCAGCAAGGGATGGCCGCAGCTCTTTCCCTCCCTTGTGTCTTATCCAGGGTACTTGGGGTGGGTAATGCTCACATCCTTAATCCTAGTACCCTTGATCTGGCTTTGCACCATGAACCAATCCTAGCTGTCACAGCAGATCCAGCCATCACTGACAAAGCCATACCCATGACTGCATGAGGCTTTGGGAACACAAACTATAAGACCCACCATGCCCAGCTGGCAAATGCCATATTGATGCAGAAGATGAACGGAAGCCCAAGGAATGCCACCTTTGTTCATTACTATTGGAGGACTAGGTGAGCTTGTCCCTGTAAGTCTGTGTTTCCATCTGTGAATGGTCCCTAGACACTGCAATAAACAATACACAATGCAAAAGAAATACAGTCTGTATTGGGAAGCAGTAGTCTTGACAGACATTTGACATTCTTTGTGGACTTTAAATGCTGTGGCTATGAATAATAAGATATTTTCAGTCTTGGTAGTCACTGTGTTTAAATACACTGGTAAAATGTAATGACCGCTTCAAGATTACGGACCAGGCTATAGAGTTTGCTTAATACAGACATCTAGGCACTCCTGTTCTCTTCATATCCAGAGCAGAGCATCTGCTTTTTACGGACTTTTTGTTGCCTCTCTCTGGGTCATACTACTCAGATATAAACTCTCAACAAACACTACAGGTTTCCAGCAGCACTGTGGGGTGGACAAGATTGGACCCTAGCCCCGGACCTCCCATCTATGAGCCTTGGGTGAACCAGAGAAAACAGAAATTGAAGACTGTTTTTGGATTCAAAGAGCTGTTAGAACTCTGAGAATAAAACCATTTCTTCCCTTCTCAACAGCAGGACAGAGCTGATATCTGTGAAATGAAAGATCCCTGATAAGAACACTACCAAATAATGAATATTATAGTATAAAACATGGCCACCATTATCATGAAAAGAAAAGCCTTAGGCATTACATTTTTTATTTTCAGATTTCTTTTCTATAAAAACATTACTTCCCCACCTCATTGGCCTTCCAGATTTTTCAATCACTGTCAGACTAAAGCAAAGCAAAACAAAAAACTGAGTATAAGTTGAAAGCCTAAGTTGAAGCCTGTACATATCTAGGTCCATATGTGGCCATAGATAAGAGCTCATTAATTACAGCAGCCTGAATTCCCCCCAGTGTTGCCTTCCACGCTCACTGGGACCCTAGCCCCAGACCTCCCCCACTGTGCCCACCCCAGGAGGTCCTTAGGGTGTGCTCCCCATGGTCCTACCTGGCTCTGTGGGCTTGGCAAACACCACTGCAGCCTATTGCCTGTCCTTCCTTAGGCACCAGAGTCCACCCTGGGGTTCCGGTGAGGACTGTACTGCTCCCTGGGCAGTGCCCAGCGCAGAATCTCTTGGTGGATTCTGCCCACGATGCTACATGCTGCGGGGAGCCAAAGTCACCTGCCCTCCCTTGTGTATACTCTGTTAAAATAGTCTGCAAGCAACTCTGCGTATGCCTTGCTGTTTTGTGAACATTTGAAGAAACAGTTCTTTGGGACTTTTGCTTACTGACTTCCTGCTTTCTCTAGTGGGACATGAAGGACACGAAGCAGGTAGGGAGGCAGAAAGATTCAGGCCAAGGGCCAACACGTCTCTCCTGCTCCTCGGAGGGTTTGCCCCTCTCCTCTGAGAACCAAGTCTGCATCCTAGGACTGGATCTCTTTTCTTGGTCTTCTGGGAGTCTTCAGTAGTCCCCTCCAGGGCTTTTTTAAAAACAGATTTCCCCAGTAATTCATCAACAAGTCTGGGCCTTTGGCTGTGACACATTCCAGACACAGGCAAAGACCTCTGGTCAGTAAGGCTTCTCTTTTCTTTTTCCCTTTCTTTCCCTCCCCTCTTCTCCCTTTCCTTGAGCTGCTCTGTCCTGCCCTCCCTTTCCCTCCTCTCTTCTTTTCTTTCAGTACTAGAGAGTGAACTTAGGGCCCTTTCTACTTTGACATAGGGTCTCATCTCACTAAGCTGCCCAAGCAATACTCAAACTTGTCATCTTCCTGCCTCAGCCTCCCAGAGTGCTAGGATTTCAGGAGTGCACTACCTTTCCCAGCTCAGAGTTCATTCTTGCTCTGATGAAACCCCTCCACCACTACCCTCTTCAGGGCCCATCCTTGGGGTGACAGGACTGTGGGGGGAAGATGGAGGGAGACACCAGTGAGCCGTGGGGACTGGGCTGGGAGCCGTGTGCTTTCAGGAAGGTGCCTGCTCTGCCCCTTCACTCAGGGTCTACATTCCTTCTGCAGAATGACATTTTCGAGTGGGCCAGGGACCACCGAGCCCACCACAAGTACTCGGAGACGGACGCTGATCCTCACAACGCTCGCCGTGGCTTCTTCTTCTCCCACATTGGGTGGCTGTTGGTGCGTAAGCATCCGGATGTCATCGAGAAGGGGAGAAAGCTGGACGTTGCCGACCTGCTTGCCGATCCTGTGGTCCAGTTCCAGAGAAAGTAAGTTTCTGGATATTACAAGAATTGTCCCTCAAAAGTCAAAGAGGCAGAAAGCACAGTGAGGTTTGCCAGTCTCCCTAGCACTCTCCCCACAGGCATTTAATCTAATCATGGATCTTACTTTTATAATTTATCTCTGTTTATTAATTTTCCTTTGCTCATTGAGTTCTCCCCACAGGCAAGTTTGTTTTGGTCCTAAAGTTTTATTTTCCATGGATTTTCCTGTAGCCCAGTGCCATTTGCTTCCAACTAATCTAGCACAGCGGATTTTCTGGAATCTGTTTCCCCGCCCCTGTTCATGCTCCCTGGCTGCTTTAGCTTAGGGACATGCTTTGCCCCAACAGGACTGATTCCCTCCTGGTGTCTGCTCTGTCCTCCAGGCATTGTCTCTCCTTCACCCAGCATGGCTGTGTCACATGGTAGGTTACTGGGTAAAGAAAATGAGACTGCAGAACAGGTAGTCTCAAGCACCTGTGTCCCCATGGGGTCAGTCACCCTTGTTCAGGCAGCTGGTGTCTGCAGGAGAAACTACTTTCACCAAGCCCATGAAAAAGGTCACCAATAATTGTGCTGGCAAATTGGAAGCATCAGGTGTTACCTGTGAGCTAGAAAGCTGGCATGTGCTGTATCCCTGCGATATGGATTTGCAAAGCGGGGCATGCTGACTGACCGCAAATGGGCTTATTGCCCCAGAGCAGTGGATTAATGTGGACACAGCTTTGGGACCACATGCTGGTCAGAGCTTTACACAGCACGTGAATGAGTAGTTACTAGAGATGATCACAGGCAGATTGGAGTCAAGTGGGGACTTGCATACAGACTGTTCAGGCTGAAAAAGGAAGACGGACTGTGCCTTTTCTAACATAATGATCCGCTTATGGGGAAGATATGTGGCTCAGAATGTGCTCGTTCTGATTGAGCCTGTCGCTTCACACTGCAGGCAGCAGTAGACTGTAGTGAGAAAATGGTGGCCGTGGAGGACTGCCCAGGATCAGGCCCTCTGCTCTCCTACTTGCCAGCAAATAAATTAACCAATTACATCCCAATTTCACCTGTAATAAAATGAGAGTGACAGAATTGCTTATCTCCTACAGTTTTTATGAAGATATAATTGTCTTAGTCACTTTCTTGTCATTGAGACACAGTAATCAAATCTGAAGGAGAGGGGAGTTTTATTTAGGCTAATGAATTTTAAAGGTTTCAGACCATGTTCAGCTGCTAGGAGGACCTACAAAGAGCAGCTAGACCCCCTCTGGATCATTGCTGAAGAGGCCTCTGAATGCTCTGGGAAACTTTCTTAGCTGGGTCTGAATGAGCTGGTATTCTCTGGTATTCCCTGGTATTCTCTGCTCAAAGCATTCTTTTATTTGTAGACCCTTGAGCCTATGAATTGTGGAGTATGGCCGATTCAGGTGCCCTGAAGTCATCTGTTCTATTGTTACACTATATAGGTTTCAACTTTACATGAACTTCTTTCCTGGTGAAACTCAAAACTTTAAAAATCACTTAGCTGTGCCTTTTGCTCTTACTTCTCCAGGTAGAGCTGGTTAAAAGTCCCCAACAATACCTGTATCACAGCCTGAATGTTGGGCTGCCTTGAATTTTTTTTCTGCAGATTAACAAATCTGCTGCCCTTAATCTTGTTTCACATTATGTAGTTAGTTTTTCTGCCACAGCATAACATACATGACTTCACGTCCAACTCCTAGTGGAGTCCTTGTTCCCAACTGGAGCCTCTTGGGCCTAACCTTTACTATCTGTCAGAATTCTGGTTCTTTTAATCTTCAAACAGACTCTGTCCCAGCTTACAGCACAATAGGCCTTCAGCAGTTAGCATTTCTAAACCTTTCCAAACTCCTCCCAAAAAGCAACTCAAAAGGCTTCTGAACCACATAGTCAAGTGGTCATAGTGATGACTACCTTCCCTGGTGCCAAAACTTGTCTTGGTCACTTTCTTGTTGCTGAGACAACTGCAGCTTAATAATGAACATGTACAGTTTAGGAGAGGTTTATTTGGGCTAATGGTTTTTAGACATTTTAGTCCAGAGTCATCTGGTTGGAAGGGCCTGGTTGGGGGGGGGGGGAAGAAAACTGCTCACATCATGGTAGACAGGAAGCTGAGAGAAAAGCAAGGAACCAGAAAGGGAGCACTCCAGCTGTACCTCCAGGGCCTCGACACTTCCAGCCAGGCCCCTGCCTCCTAACAGCAAGTCAGGTGTATGGTCCCACAATTCAATCACCCTCCAAAAGCCTCGTCTACAAGTGCATGAGGGCTTCAGGGGACATTTTTTATCTAAACCATAATAGTAACAAAATCACATATTTGGCAAATGCCTGTCACATAACAAGAGCCCGTGGCTGTCAGTGACAATTACCACACAGGCGTTTGGTCTGTTCTGTGTGCTCCAAGACAGCCCTTCCAGCAGACAAATGCAGTATAAGTAGTCATATGTTTTAGCACAGAAAATAGCAAGATGCCTTAGACTAGCAATTAAATGATTTGTTGATTTTGATTTTTTCACCATGAGAGTAAATCGTTAGAGAGAAAACTGAAAAATTCATAGCTGTAGAAAGAAATTCATGCAATACCGATGAATGTCCATTTTGTATCTGTGTATTCAAAGTGGTTAGGATAGATATATAGTTGCATTCTCTTAATGAATAGAATGATTTGTTCTAATGGTGTTTGTAAATAGGATCACAAGTCCGCATCTTGTACAGCAATTAACCACTAAGAAGAATATATGCAGTGTATTATTTGTTGAAACTGTACTTCCAATTTGATTTGAAACTGTCTCATTGCTATCTGTTTATCAATAAAACTTTGAAAAAAAAAGAAAGAAAGAAATTCATGCAGTCAGGATATAAACACAGCCACTATTAATGTTCAGTGATGTCTCCTGTTTTTATGTGTACATTTGATACATTCGGCACAATGACAACAGCACATGTGATTTATGTTTTGACTTTGACTTCAGATTTTATTGTAGACACCATCGGGAGCCTGCAGGATCAGGCTGCACCATCAATCGAGCATGTCATATTTTATTGAACCATCTCTGCGACTGGACATGTATGTCATTTCCATTCTGTGATGTAAACAATGCTGCTAGTAATTAGTAATGCTTTGGAATAATCAGGCCTTAGATTACTCTGAAGAATTCAAATGAAAGCCAAAGACTTCTGTTTTATTAATGAGAACTGAGGCAGATATAATACTCTGGGTTTCTTAGACCATAAAAATGGAAAGGTCCTCCACATCTTTTTCCTCTACAAAAAAGGCTGTAATCAGATTCATTATATGACTCCTAGTAGGGGTGTATATCCTCATAAATGCAGGCCATAGAGCAAGAAGACTGCTTCAGCAAGGCCCCCGAACTGTTCTCTAAGAATATTTTCCATCCACCAACCAGAGGGTCTGTGGCTGTGAGAACCCACTCACTCATGTCCTCATCTCACAGAGACTCTTGAGCCCTTGGAGGAACCAGTGATGAGGCTGCAGCCCTAAAGGTGGACCTCTGTTCTCCCAGAATTTGAAGCATCAAGGAACCCACAAGTATATTTTCAGACAAGCATACTCCAGGAAGAAGAGTGCTGGAAAAGGCAATCCTGGCCAACAAAGACAAGGCAGGAGGCATTACAATTCCTGACTTGAAATGATACTACAAAGCTACTGTGATAAAATCAGCATGGTACTGGCAATAAAATAGACCTGAGGATCAATGGAATAGATTAGAAGATGCAGAAGCTTCTACGAACACACTCAGCCACCTCATATTTGACAAAGGGGCCAAATGCTTACTGGAAGAAAGATAGCCTCTTTAACAAATGGTGCTGGAAAAACTGGCCCTCTACATGCTGAAAACTAAAACTTGACCCAGGTCTATCACCATGCACTAAGCTAAAGTCAAAATGGATTAAAGATCTAAACATTAAAACAGAGACACTAAATCTCCTGGAAGAGAAAGTAGGAGGAACTCTTGAAGACATAGGGGTAGGCAAAGAGTTCATGAACAGAAACCAAATCGCACGGATAACAATTGAAAGAATTAACAACTGGGACCAACACTTATTGAGAAGTTTTTGCACATCAAAAGAAATTACCAACAAAGTGAAAAGACAACCCACAAATTAAAAAAAAAAATCTTAACTAATAAGCACTCAGACAAAGGTCTGCTCTCTAGAATTTATAAAGAACTATAAAACATTAGGGGCCCCAAATTTAAAGACCCAATCCAGAAATGAGCATCTGAGATGAACACACACTTCTCAGAGGACAAACTTAAAGAAGCAAATAAATATATGAAGAAACACTCCACATCACTAGCCATCCATGAAATGCAAATTAAAACAACACTGAGATACCATCTCACCCCAGAAAGAATGGCTATCATAAAGAAATCAACCAACAACAAATGTTGGAGAGGCTGTGGGGAAAAGGGAACCCTTCTCCACTGCTGGTGGGAATGTAGATTGGTACAACCATTATGGAAATCAGTGTGGAGACTCCTTAAGAAACTAGGACTGGAAATTCCATTCAAGCCAGCTAATGCCCTACTGGGAATTTTCCCAGAGGAACTGAAAACGTCATATCATAGTGATATATGGGTACCTATGTTTATAGCAGCACAATTTGTGATAGCCAAATCTTGGAAACAACCAAGATGCCTGTCACATGAAGAATGGTTGAAAAAGGTGTGGTATTTTTATACAATGGAGTATTACTCAGCTATAAAGAATGATAAACTTGAAGCCTTTATATTGAAGTGGATGCCACTTGAAGATATACTCATAAGTGAAATAAAGCAGACTCACATGTGTAAATATCGTATAGTCTCCTTAGTATAAGAACTCAAAAGAAGAAATACAAATAGAAAGGTATAGCACAATTAAAAGGAAAGCGCAAATTTGAGGACCAGACAATGAGGAGAGCACAAGGAGAAAAGCTGGGAAACAGGACAGGGACAAAGTCATACATTTATATGCACAAGATGGGCAAG